CAATATCGTAAAAATTGGTCATAATAATATAAAAGCATCCTGAAGTAATGTAGATTCTATTTATTCAAATCATGACACTCCCCCCTCCCTCCCCAGGAGAATAAAGGGACCATAACAGGGGATCACAGTTACACAGTAAAACTCGTTTAGTATAAACACGGATATTGCGAATTCACAGATATAGCAAAGTTTTCTTGGATCCCCAGGTAAATAAATTTTACTAATTCCTTATATGGATATAACAAATTAAGGATATAGCAAAGTAATTTCACAGGTCTCAGTGACTTCGTTATACCTGAGTTTTACTGTAAAAAGGAAGAAAAAGGATATATTGATAAAAATTTTCTTCTTAAGGATAGCAATGGTAATATGTGTCATATTAATTCAAAAGCATCCTTAGAAAGTGTAGAATTCATAACCACCCCCCCCCCTCTCTCTCTCTGAACCACTTTTATATTTAAACTTTTAAATACTGAACTGATTTATGCTTTTTTCTACCTAAAGTGCTCAGGTGAGCAATGTGGCCCCTAGGACTCTTGTTTATTGTTGGTCTTATATGTGAAATCAGAATGCAATACAGTGTAGTAACTGTACATAATATATTCTTTCAGAGAGAAGAAAACTGACATTAAAGGAGAACCAGTAACTAAAGATGTATGATGAATCAAGATGTGATCATGTGGTAAGTGGTAATTAATTCAATCATAAATAGGCATGTATGACAATTGCATTAAAAGAAAAGAACTTGATTCCAATTTTAATTGGAATGTTGAACTACCAGCTGCAAACTACAACTGGTTAGGCATAATGAAAAAATATGTTTGTTTATGGTTACCCGACTGACCCTATATCTAATAGCCAACCCAAATTTTTTTTTCATTGTAAAAATCCATAAGTCACTCATTTGTCGGTTTAACTTTTACATGCATCTTAATCGGTCAAGCGTTTGAATCGAAAGTACTAGAAATAGTTAGTGCTACATGGAATTAAAGAAGAAATACAAGACAGTTTTTTCATTGTGTGGTAGCTGTAAGGCAGTTGGCAAGAAAGATATTGTCTATCGCCTATATGGCAAGCCCAAACAAAAAATAAAACAGCACCACACAATGGTAAAACTGTTTTGTATTTCAACCAATTCATGTGAATTTGTGTATAAAAAAATTCAATAAAATAAAAAATTCCTACCAACCGACCCTATTTCATTTCAGCATGTAACAGTAAGCAAACATATTTTTTTGTTTGGCCTTATGTAATTGTATGGCTTGGAGTCACTTCTCTATAAAATTTTCTGTCTGGATGATATCTAGCATAATATACACATGCAGTGAGGATTTTAGTTCACCCGAGCTAAAAACTCAAGTAAACTTTTCTGATCATCTTTTGTTTTGTCTTTTGTCCATCAAACTGTCTATCCATCAGTGAGCTTTTCACATTTTCAACTTCTTCTCAAGAACCACTAATTTTAACAAAGGTTGACACAAAGTAAGAATATTTTAAATTGTACAGAGGAAGCCCCCACCCCACCCCCCACCCCCCTTCACCCCAAGGGGAAATGATCAATTCTTTCAGATATTATTGATATGATCATAAGACATTTTTGAGCAACTCATTATTTTGTATTCTGTAGACTTTATTTTAAGAATAATGAATATTTGTTTAAGAGTCCTTCTGTCAAGGTTTAAAGTTCAATTAAAATTATTTTGTGATACATGTATTTGAGGATTCGAGATATCAGGAGTAAAATATTTAAAAAATACTTCCAAATTACTTCGACATATCTATGGTATTCGAGATGCCAAAGTTCAACTGTATGGCTATGCTAAAGTAGTAAATATTATAACTTACTAAAACTTTCTAACATTGAAACATGTTAAATGAAACAAGACAATAATGAAAAATAAAAATTTACTGATTTCTGGCTGGTCAGTATTTTGATGACTGTAATTTCTAAAATATTCAATGAAACACTTTGAAGCTTTAACTGTAGGTATATGTTAACTAAATATACTATAAGGTAATATTTATAAATGAGAAGTTTTGAACAAACATTACAACATGCATGTATGTAAATTGGGGGTAAAAATTTGTTACCGGTAATGGCTATTGCCTTAATTTTCAGTGACATAAAACAAGATTTAGAATGTAGGTAAATAATACTAGTATGTGTCTGTACATATGATATAGCATATACTGTGGTAGAACTTGTACTGAATGTTGATTAGCTAAATCTTGAATGGCTGATATGTTGGTCGTTTTTTATGAAATTTAAATTATATGTATGTAAACTGAGTGTACATGCAACATAAAATTATTCAGAAGGTATTAAACATGATTAAAGTATGTGTATGCAATGCAACATATGATGAATTCATATTGACTTGTAAGGATATAGCTTATCATGTGTGTGCATTGTTTTTTTAGGGTCCTGTTCTGCAGATGCCATGAGATGATCTTGTCTGTCCATCTGATATCACTTGTCCTGAGTATATTTTCTCTCCTCTTAGCCCAATCTCACTCAAATTTAACTCATAGAGTGCCTGTGGATGGAGGGTAAAAGGTGACCTTGGACCAGTTATCAAGGTCAAAGGTCAGTATCAAAACACACTATATATCTTTATTTAAAGTCCTTGTCCACAGCATAATTTTTCTCCCTTGGTATGATCTGGCTTGTGTGCCATGGGATGAAGGGTTTTTAGTGATCTTTAACAAAATTTCTAGGTCAAATGTCAATAAGAAAAAAAAAAGATTCATAATATCCTTGTCCAGAGCACATTTCTCTCCAATTCACTCAACTAAAAGCAGTGTATGAAATGGTCATACATGTATGAGATGGTCATATTCTGCTTTAATATTAATCTGGCTTAAAACCTTACTATGTAATGTTCATTATTCGGAGTTCATGGTCATTAAATTTAAAGACTGAAACTGATTATAATCACTGATATTGGTACATTAAAGGACATTGAGTGATCTTGTAAGATTTCTAAATAATATTCAAGCATACAATTCTTACATCAAGTAATAATTTTATATGAAAATATATTGCAGATCGCAGATGATGTGAAGAAAATACAAAGGAAGCTGATGTTGAAAGAAGTATAGAGTATTTAATGAAGTTTATGAATGGACTTAGATGTGAAAGACTACTTCATTGTTTACCAAGATATATAATTTGATTTATTTTGTTATCATTTTCAAATAATGTTTTTGCACATCAAATGAATTATTAAACACATGATTTGATAATGCTTTTTCCTTTTTATACATTTTCTTGATAGATTTTGAAAAGAAAACACAGTCTACCAAGGAAATTAATAATATATATTTTGATTTAAACCTGCTGTTCTCTTTTCACATTCTAGACAAGAAAGATTTACCATGGTAAATACAGGGATCCTTGAGCTTCCAGTTGCTAGTCGATCATTTTTCGAAATTGAAATGCTCAACCTACCCTGTAGTTTCCATGGTATGGAAACTATTACACCACAATTACACATTGCTTCCCGTCTCAGAAAAATAAGGGAATCTTGAAGTTTCCCTGTCATTTCCTTTTATGAGACACCAGATAATTCCACCAAGTTTCCATCACACGGAAACCGCTACGCTCCGATTCCATGTAGTTTCCTGAGTCATGGAAACTTGAGGAATCACGAGGTTTCCTCTAGATTCCGTTCATGGGAAATCTGAGGATTCCATCGAGTTTCCATTCCATGGAAACCACTACGCTCCGATTCCACATAGTTTCCTAATTATGGAAACCAGTGGAATCTTCAGGTTTCCCATTACGGGAAACCACATGGAGGCTCAGGAAACTTCAGGTTTCCTGAGGTTTCCGTGGTTCGGGATACCTAATGGAATCGGAGCGTAGTAGTTTCCGTGGTACGGAAACTTGATGGAATAACCTGGCATCCGCTGCGGAAACCACTAGGAAACATGATGTAAACATGAGGTTTCCATGTGGTTTCCATATAGTTTCCCATGACGGGAAACTGCTTTTTTCACCCAGTGGATGTGTACCATACTTGTCTGAAATCACGAGAAATCGATCGTCCATCTTAAGTTTTTGAAAACTAGAGAGCTACAGATCTGCAGCTCTTCAAATAACAAGGAAATAAAATCTCCTGAAGATTTGATGAGTTTCAATTTTGTCAAAGCATATTTTTAATGGCATATTAGACATAGAAACAATTCGCCGAATGTCAGCTCTATAAAATGAAACGATCAAAATACTCATGGAGTGAAAAAGATGAAGATAAGAACAGTGATAGATCTAAAAAAAAAAAAAAAAAAAAAAAAAAAAAAAAAAAAAGAAGAAGAGTGCTAAAATAGGCTTTCGCTGCTGCCCAATCCTTTAAAATTATGTAAAACCTAAATTAAAACAAAACTCAAATCTCTCAATAGGGCATTAAAAAAAACCGGACCGCTGGAAAACGAGACCTAATTTGAAAGAAACGGATGCCCTGCTCCATACGTGTCTTTAATAATTATTGGATAAAATTAACATACAAAATGAACCTTAAACACATAAAAATCACAAACTCTGATAGTCTAGACGTTATATTATTTAATAGGATAACTTGATTTTTTCTGCACCCGGGTATTATATACTACAGTAGATTCTTATTGTTTTCTCTAATCCTTGGACTATTGCCCGTCCACACCCCAACCCCTCAAGGGATCCTTTGTGTAATCGCTATTCTTTTGTATTCTGGTTTGAGTTTCAGAATAAAAGGCTGTACGTAGATAAAATGAAACCTGAAGAAACGCAATTGAAAATTATTATGATAAAAAATAAACAAATTAATATTCGGATAAGTGAGAATGCACTTAAAGATTTGATAATTCTTCTTGCAGTTAGCAGCCATACTGTCTTCTTTGTTTAATTTCATTTACCCGGTAAAACTAAGATAACACGGGGTGTAGGTTAACTTATCAAGGTAGAAATACTCTTCGTGTTTTTGTTACTAGACTGTTGTGCTTAACGTTTTTGTATCATACCCATGGCTAAAATACAGTTAGTTTACTTCCAGGTCTGGGGTAAGTATTATAAACTTTTTATTATGTATCTGAATTTATTATCTCGATTTTTTTTCTTTAAGGTGTTTAGTAATGGAAACACGAGCATTGTTGACATTAGGTCTATAAGCCGATGTGAGATGAAAAGTCAAACCTGGTGCTTGATATCGCATTTCTACACTTGTACAAAGTTCTATATTGGATGTACAAAATCTTTCAAAAATCTATGTAGGGATTAATGTTACCTTTGAAAGTAAGCAGTGACTGAAAAATCCCCCCCCCCCAAAAAAAAAAAATAATAATAATAATAAAAAGTAACTGTACGTTGTGCATAATTAAGGGGTCTTTATCAATTTAAAACATTATAGAAGGAAGGCCAATTATCCAAGGACCATTACATAATACATGAAATGCATCGTTGCATGTGAAAGAAGTCTGCGTTGAATAAGATGTTTTTATCAATATTTTTAAGAAATAGATTAAAAGAATCTGTAAAACCTAAACAGATAAGGGGATTATTATTTTTCAAATCTGTAATGGAAATAGTCAAATGGTGTATGTCAACTCTTGTGCTGTGTTCATTCAATTGCTTTTGCAGGCCGTGGAGAGTCAATAAGGACTCTCATGGTTGACAATAATGTAGAATACGAGGAAATTGATGTAGGACCATTTGACGACTGGGTGAAAGAATGGAAACCAAAAATGGTAAGTGTACTTCTACGGTCAAAACACGGTTACAGTGGCGAACACGCTAATAAAAAATTCATGCTTACAGGGAAATGACTGTTCTATTACCTGCTGTAAATATATAATATTATGAACTTAACGATATAACGAATTACTTTTATAACTAATCAAATTTTTTCGTCCCTGGCTCTTCACTTTAAACGCTTTCTACTGTATAAAGAATTTAATTTGTCCTTGACCTTACAATGAATGCTTTGAAATTATTAGTTTATTGTAGATGAAACAGTTAACTTTACATTCGTAACAAGATTCATGTGTCATCTTTGAACAGATGCATTTTTATGTTTTCTGGACCAATGTAAGTCAAACTCAGACGAAAGCATGAACATCATGCACGTATCATGTGTTAAGCTCTGCTTGTGTATAAAAGTAAAGGTAACTACTACATAATATAATAGTTAACAAACTGAAAAAAATGAGGATAGGGAGTAATTGTATATTATAAAATTTCAGGAGGTAAGCTAGTATTAAGTAAATAAACAGAAGTATAAAATATATCGTAAATATCAAAAGATTGATCATTTCAAGAATGCAAGCGTTAAAAGTTTATATTTGTAGTGCTTTATGTAATTTGTCACATCAATTTTGTAGGGTAGAAAATGCTTAGAGAAACTATTGTAAAATTAATTTCAGTCAATGAAATGAGGATAAAAGGATATAATACTTAGTCTAGTAAATGTGTATATGTACCGATACAAAATTATAGAAAATTCAAATCTAAGATAGGTTTAACAATATGAAATCAAACAGTTGCAGAAAAGATTATTTAAGCATTTACATTGTGATGAACAACTTAAATTGACTGACAGTTCAGCATAATTCATCTTCAAGGCGTTTGGTCAGTGTCCTTATTTAAAAGATGGAGACGTAGAGATTGTACAGTCTAATGCAATTCTGAGATATCTGGCTAGAAAACTAGGTAAGACGTAACTATTCTTGTCTAATGTCATGTAATAATACGTCATATGAAGAGATAAATGAAATGTAAAACAGCACAAAGCAATGATTTTAAGACGTTATATTCTATAGAAGATTTCACACCATCTTAATAGAGTTGCTCAAATGTGTTCGACCTTTAAAAGGTCATTATTTTATTTATTCCTTATTCATTAGGTTCATGTCTATATTTTGCAAGATGGGTGTGAAACTGGAGGTTTTGTTATTGACAAGTAGTCTAGAAATAATTAAAACGTCTTGTAAATTTTTAGCAGTTATATTTATTTACGTAATATTTATTAAGCTACTTTCCCTTTTAAGGGAAATTTGCATTTCATGAATCAATGTAATGCTATTACTGTATAATTATAATTGTCATGCAAAATACAAGGAAAAAAATATATAAAATTCGAAGTGATTCATGATACTTATATTTTGCTTTTATGATACTCTTAAGATTTGTATGGTTCAAATAATAAAGAAGCAACAAGAGCGGACATGATCAATGATGGGGTGGAAGATCTTAGAACAGAATATACAAGGATGATTTATCAGAACTATGCAAGTATTTTTAGTTTTTGAGATATCAAAGTTAAGCAATAAGTGGCGGATCCATTACTTTTTAAATGGGGAGCAGGGTGACAGTAGGGGTCTGGGTCCTCCTTAAGGCCCCTTGTGTGTCCAAGACAAAGTCCTTGTGACAAAGTAAACCTTGAGAGTCCCAGGGGACAAAAATCCCGGAGATCCCAGATTTTAAGTATTCTTTAGGTACTTTTGTAAAGTTTTGCATAATCTACCCAAAAAATATTTTATTCATTTAAGGAATGTTTTTAAGTTTTGTGTGAGATATTGGTGTGTAAATCACACAGACTTGTCACGTAGGCATATTTCATGAAGCGCGCTAGCGCTTCATGAAAAATATGCCTACGTGCAAGTCTAAATCCGCTAAATCCGCCAGTGGCACTGTCACCTTTATCTGGTGCTATATATGAGAAATATCAAACTTCTAAAGTTTGTTGATTGCAAGAAATTTCAAGTAACACTAAATGATGTCTTGCCAGAAATGTCTCACAATTTCTCATCTTTGGCTTTCCTACTTAATTTGGCTTTAATTTCAAATTGTCATAATTACTTGGAAAGAGGAGAGGGTCTTTGTAGAAAAATCTTATAGTATATAACTTGCATGGAAATTCGACCATGATGAAGTGGAAAAATCCCCTACTTTCAGTTTTATATTGACCGAAAGAGTAAATTTGTAGAAGACAATTAAATGCGTACAAGTAAGTCTTAATGTGGCATGGACACACATGCATTACCGTTTTTTTACAATTTAAAATTTCTATTCATATTTAGAAAACTTATTTTAATGATTTTAACTGAAATGATAATGACAAAGTCATTCTTCATGGTCGGACTTCAAAAACATGGACACGAGCTCCGTTATTGTTTATATTAAAGTTGCATAATGAGTCAAAACCATGTGTTTCTTTTAAGAAAATTGTATGACAAAACAAAAGGTTTCTGTGAAATATGAATATAACGAAGTTTTGACAACTCAACTGCACTGTAAAGCAAGAAAAATAAATGCCGGAAAAACAAATGTTGTATCTATCGCTTTGTTTTTATCGTCAGTGTCAACAATGTCAAGGTCACGCGTCCTTTATTTTTAGCGTGAAACTTGTAAACGATTATGATAATCTTTTTTGAAGAATGTATCAAAATTCTCAGTCATCCGACATTTATATCTATGGAATTGAAACCATGGTAAATTTTTCAACTTTTCAGCGCATGCGTACAATAAAGAGGAAGAAGTGAAGCAATATTTTTGTGATGGGTTATACAAAGATTTTTTTTACTTTTATTTTTCTCCATTAAATTAGATTTTTTAGGTTCTGAAACCTGTAATTTTCTGAAACCTAATATCTTCAAGAACTGAACAAAATTTGCGTGTGTCATGCAAAAATTCTACTGTTGTCAATTTTCCCGTTTGTCCGTCACAGTGTCACTTTAATATTTTCCCGGGATTTTTCGGTTTGCTTACTCATCATACAATACTGAACACGAACTGAAAACATTAGTGTTGTTTTTTCTTTCTTTCATTTCTTTAGTGATTTTCTTGAGTATAGTTAAACCTTTTATTAAAACACCATAGATTTTCCCTTTTAGTACTTAGAATAAATTCTCAAGAATGACAATTAAACACACTGGAAGCTCGTAATTTTGATAATTTTCAGATAAAAGAAGATTCGAAATATATAGGTATGAATTACTAGTACTCTTACAACGTGTCAGGGTAGTATACTTATATATGTTAAAAAAATATTAACTTCAAACTCATGTTCATGCAAACTTTGATATTACAGAATCTTTAATACATAAAAAAATGAAATAAACGATTTTTGCATCATATTTTATTGCATATACTTTTGGGAATATATCAAAATTTCAAATAGTTCTTTGGATAATTAATATGATTCGGACTAATGGATTCATATTTATACATCTGAGTCATTACTAGTCCCACTGAGTTTGATTATAGTACAAGAACACCAAATTTTTTATTGAATTTTCTATGTTGTAATGATTATGATTAATTATAATCACTGTACGACTTATCTACTATAGGAGAAAGGAAAGGATCCATTTATAGAAGATCTTCCAGGAAAACTGCAGCATTTTGAGGTTTGTTCAAATATAAGCTTATGTTTTAGAATACCATAGGGCTGATTCTATTTAGGCTGAATTTTTTTTTCAATCTGCCTGTTAATCAATTTCTTATTCTTCTTTCGTAGAACTTGATGAAAAGTGGAGATTATGTACTGGGAAGCAAGGTTTGTCATTAAAAATATGCTTTGAACATTCAAATAAGATAAATTCCATTGGTTTTTCTATTTAAAAAATAATTCTTTACATGTGTGTGCGTGTGTGTGTGGAGAGAAAGAGAGATTTCTAACAGTAATCAATCCTAGAAGTGTACTGAAGCATCCCCTGTCGACCGGTATATCAAAAATCAACAAATATAATTCCATTGCTGTAATAAATTATGCGGCCATCACATATTTCGCTTGATTTCTTTTCAGATTTGTTTCACTGACTACAATTTGTTTGACCTTTTGAATTGCCTGGTGACCTTATCTTCCCCCTGTCTTGATAAATTTCCCAACCTAAAGGCCTACCGTGATCGTATGATGAATAGACCAGGGATCCAGAGGAGAAGGGCAACTGAGCACTTCAAAGGACTAAAAATTAATTTCAATGGAAAACAGTGAGAAAATCTGAAAATAAAGGTACACGATACATTGATTTATGTATTTGAAACTCAGTTTTAAGCTGATGGAAAAAAAAATATTTGTAGACTGTTTATAAAAAGATACATGTTAACTGAATGTAAGGAAAAAAAATTATCTTTATAGTCATGTAATTAGTCAATCTGTTTGTTTCCATTCTATTTTGTCTACTTTACAGTGTATCAGGCGCGGATCCAGGATTTTTTTCCACGGGGGGGGGGGGGGGGGGGGTCATCCCAGTCAAAAAAAATTCTTACCCAAAACCCAAAAAATTTCTTGATAAGCAAAAAAAAAAAAAGAAAAAGAAAAAAGAAAAAAAAACGTGAAAATTACCTATTTCGTGGTGGTGATAGTGGGGTTCACGTTTTCTGGGGGGGGGGGGGGGGGGAGGGATCCAAAGTAATTTTTTATTTGCTTCAGTATATACTTTTTCTAACTCTGCAAATTCCAGGGTCCTGAACCCCCTCCCCCCTCTAGATCCGCGCATGTTGTATTCATTACAAGTATACTTGACCAAATTTTCAATTTTGTAACGTATGATAAGTCATTTTTTACATGCCAGTACAAGTGGTTTAAGGACAACAATACTTATCTAAATCACCTTTATCTTATTGTTATATCTTTTTTTATGCTTCATGGAAATATTTTCTTTCCATTTAAAATGTTGTTCCTCTCTTATCACCCCCATCCTACCCCTCGTGCCAATTATTTGAAAAATTGATATATGAAGATAACAAACAGTGATCAATCTCAAAAGTACATTGGGAAAAAAAATCGGAGCAGAGCAAACACGGGCCTCTAAAAACATCAGAGCTTGGTTGGATCAGGTGACATGGGGAAGAAAGCACACCTTGCCTACGGTCTCATCAGTCGTGTTTTTCTTGTCATGATCGGTGAAACGGAAAAATCCATAGATAATTCAGACTGAAAATAACAAACTGTATAAAAGTCAGTCAACTTTCCGCGTAATTTCAGATTGTATTTGCAAACAACGTCATTGTTTCGACGATAAATTTTGCAAAATGATGACTTTAAACGAGATTCTTGATATCTGTGTATCATCAACTTATTTGTCAATAGCTTGTCCTGATTTGGAATTTGTTCGAATCAGCTGGGAGACACCTAGCTCCATATGCAGGTGATAACGTCCATTGCTACATAAATAAGGGAAGACGACGATAGAAAAGTTAAAGTCATCACGTTTATCATAAAGTTTTCTTGTTAGGTAGCCATTGATGTCTTCTTCTAGTAAAATATCCTAACATGAAGAAAAAATTGTCAAACTTGTGGTGTCTTGTATTTTGAGTTCAAAAGAATGTAGGAATGAAAATGAATATTGTTAATTAAATTGTCGTCGATATATCTCAATGTCGAATTGAATCGAATTAAATACCACAGCAGGAGATTTTTTCTTTTCATGTAGAAGTTTTTGAATAATTTTTTCTTCATTTGAATGCAAAATACTAATAACGTAGCGACAGGGGGAAGATCCGAGAATTTGGTTTTCTGAGCCAGAATGACTACGATTTTAGGAAAAAGGTAGCATTTTTGTGGGTTTTAGTGCATTTGCCACCGTGTAAAATGAAAAAGAAATCGTGTTACAATAATTTTCGTTGATAATGCTAATTGTAATTCAATAGATTGATCGGGGGCGTATTTATGCAACCTATACCTGGCTGAGACTTTGAATTATACAAAAATTTAATCGACAAGTGTATATCTACCTGTCATACATTTTTGAAGTATTTTCACATATAGCTTTATAAATAAAGTCTAGAAGGATTTCCTTGTTTATTATTTAGTTTTCGGAGAATTAAGACTTGACCTTTTTTAATTCCCAAAAATATAAACATACATATCAGTATTGAATGGTATTTTGGATTGTTATATTTTGGTTTTTCGTTGATTGTTGAAAAATATATGTTTAACAGTTGGTAAAATAAGATTAACTGGTGCAAAGCTCGTGGCGAAGAAACGATTAGGTCTTCCGCGGACGACGGACATCGAAAGTAATGTATTGAGAGTTTTTATCCTTATAACAGTAAAATTTAAGCCGGACCTTTCCGGCCGTTAGATTATCACTTTTTGTTTGATGTCAAAGTCACAAACGCCAGAAAAAGCCTTAAAACTAAATTACATATCATTTCATAATATTTCTAATGATTTTAGGGAAAAAATTCGACTACTTAAGGTTTACACTGGAAGTACGTATACTACCGATGGATTCATTTTGTTGTCGATTATCCATATAAACATTTTAGTTCTATATGCCTTTATTCAAAACTGTTCAATTTAAAAAAAATCACTAAATTAAATATCACTTCCGGTGTCCACCGGAAGTGATGGATGCAAAACCAAAATCGTTATGCATAACTCAAAGACATGTTCAGTCTTCCCTGAGAATATCATGATTCTGTCTTCAGTTGTTTTAAGAAAATGCATTTACAAAATGAGAATTTGAAAAAATTAAAATGCGGACATAAAATTTGACCGGAAGTGGGGTTTTTTTTCTTAAAAAAATGATCTGGAGATATGAAAATGATGCATCATTCCTGAAAAAAATATTTGAAATCGATCGACTGGTTTTCGAAAAATTCCGTGTACTTTGAAAAAGGAATAAAAAATAATCAGAGAAAACAGAAGGGAAGCAGTAAGTTATAATTATAGAAGATCTTCCATGGAGGAATTCGTTCCCCGAAGGAAGTCGTTAAACCTCAATAATATGGTCTTCTTTAGGAATAATAAGAATAGCTGTGCATACTTCAAGTATAGCTGTGTATACTTCAAGTATTATACCTTTTCCAATATTATTACATTTCCAGTTTCTTTCTATTATACAAACAAATGAAAATAAATAACACCAGATATGGGCCCAAAGGACTAGATTGAATATGCAACACATGTACCAAAATTACATGACGGACCCCCTACTGTAAACACATATGTTAAACATAGCCGCATCAGAAAACTGCCTGCCCACATAAAAGGTGGGTACCCACAAAAAAATAGGCAAAGGAGAAACTTAGGCCAAAATATTCAACAATAAACTACTATCTTTGGAAGTAGAAGGGGTGGAAGGTGGGGACAAATTTCACCCTTCAGCTATAGTGTGGCTTCATATTCGAAAAACAGATCAATAAGTGACACGTGACAATTTAAACATATTTGATTGATTTGGATGTAGGAGTTAGGGGTAAGGTTAAAATTAGGCCACAAAATTATTACATTAACTTAGAAAGGAAGGGGGTAAAGTCAGGGAATACTAATAAGTATAAACCATGTTACGAACTAGGGTTTGAAATACTTTTATCTCGCAACTTAGAATAGCACACTCTCATCAATTATTTTAGTTCTAATATATTTTTCAAGTTCATGATGAAAATGATAAAATCTACAAGATATTAAAAATGAGACTGACTTTTTTAAATGAAGGTATAAACATATATTTCAATTTTGATTGTAATGCACTATACTCTTGGTTAAAAGTGTTTATATTGTTTAAAGGCCGAGGTTTTCAACTGGTCGGTTTTCCTCAGGTAAGTTTGGTGAGGGGTGAAGCTTAATAGAAGCGACCGTGAAGCCCCGAGGGAGCTGCACTGGCTTGTGTATACCTACCTATATACACAGGATGTTACCTGTATACATAGTAAAACAATGTCATCGTTTTTCTTGTGTGCATGCTAAAATAAGGGACAGATTCGTATTTTAATTCTTTATTTAAAAAATATGTTTCACTAAATTAGACAATTTCAATATTACTGTATGTGCGTTAATTAATATCAAATGTTATATTGAATATAGACCAGAATCTTCGTCGTTATGAACTGGTGAGACAAAGGGAAGTAATTCGAATTCCAAGTCGTCCAAGGGGGCAGGAATAAGTCTCTAAGTTAAAAAAAATATATAGAAACCCTAAATTTTGTAGAAAAGATAATGACTTAAATGAACATTTTTTAACTATAATTCCTAAGTGATTTTTCTATGATGCATGGTCAGCAAAGTGGCCAAGGCCGTTCCTCAACAGCTATAGTTGAAACGGAAATTTAATCTTTTCCTCGGGATCCGTAATTCTTATCATTATGTGGAATGACAGCTTTTATAATACTATTAAATTATCTTCCAAAACTGATTATTTCACTATGTGCACCATCTCTTGAAGAAAAGTGACACGTAACGGTACATTTGTCTTATAAATTTTCATTTGAACAATGTTTCAATGTTGTCATGATTAGTAAAAAAAATAGAATTATTTAGTTACATGATGCTTCAAACGTTGGTCGGTATTTTCTGTTTAAAGTAGGATCAATGTTCGTGTGTTTGACTATCTATAATTATCGACTCTATCGTGAAATGAAATCCCCCCTTTTTAAAATTACAATTTAAATATATAAGCGTTTTTTTAAATTAATTATTTAATTATCTAACAGATTAAATATATATATAACATATTCTTATGTCTTGAAGTAAAAAAAGTCAGCTCTGGTTGCTTCTTTATCACGTCGGCATGTATGCCTAAGGCATCAAAAGCCTGTATGTTAATTCAATAATCTGTGCCATCGCCTACAAGGTACACAAGATATACACAAGAAAAGAAAACCAAATGTCAATTAATTATAAATATCCAATTTCATGCTTAATTTCAGGTGATTGATAGGGGTTCACAGACCAGGTAAAGAGCTAAATCCACGAAGGGGCTAAATCGGCCTATTTTTTCAGGAAAATTAAACTGAGGGGAAGAAGAAAATTAACAATAGAAATATTATCCTTGGGTATCAAACTTTTATAGTTCATGCCAATTTTTTTTTATTTGATGACGTCATATTTGTACAGAAGTTATTTTGTGTTGTGGTGCAAAAAAGTACGAAAAACTCTCGCTGAGCATGACTGCATAGATGCGATAATGTCGACATTTTGTGTACTACATCTACGTGCCTCAGTCCTAACCCAAGACTTTTCCTTCAAGTAGCTGATCTATATTTAACTCATCATTATGCTGA